CGTTTGTTTTATGCCTGCGGTAATTATGAGTGAAACGTCACGTCATCATTGTGTATCAAACAGTGCCACCTTGAGGAAAAAAGATGCATTGCACATATTGAGTCATCAGATATGTAAATATAATTGCGCAGGAAAAAAATACTTACACATTTACGTACCTCGGGTCTCTACACTTTTTACAAAAAATTTATCAGAAAACAGGCATTCTTTTATATTTTACTATTTTTTTCTTTTTATATTGTTTATAATTAATAGATTGAGGAATACTAAGAAAGTTGATGTCTAACTTTAAAAAAAGGAGGGAGGAGAGGGTAGAGAATGATGTCCCGGGTCGCTAAAGACCCGAGGTAGACATGTGGGGGCGTGTTTAAGCGAGGAGTTTTAGGAGGGTGTGGACGAGTCTTAACTTTTAAATAGAATATCTCTTTGGGTTTGAGACTTTAGTCTTTGCAACTTTAGGGATCTTATCTATTAAAGGTGCAGTAGGAGATCTTGGAAAATGCTAACTTTAGCCTGATAGCACTGAAAGCGAACGTCCCACCCTCCCTGCAGTCGCCGTCCAAAGCCACGCCCCCTGATCGTATTTACGCTCACAGACCAGAATACCAGAGACAACATTACTACAATAGTCTACATCAGCGGTTCCCAATTCCAGCCCATGTTCCGAAGTGAAGTAAACTTCAACGGATTTCCCCTGCTCAGGGAGGAGGAAGCATTGAACACTGTGTAGGGATCATATCGAGGGAACAGAGTCTCGTGACAGACACAGTGATGAATATGTGTTTGCAGTACACAAGCCACGGTTAAGACAGCTGACTCCACTGTGATGTGACCCTGTCTCTCTCTCTCTCTCTCACGCACACACACACGCGCGCGCGCGCGCACACACACACACACACACACACGATGCGCAAAACTCCGCATTTGAACAGTCAATAGCAAATACTTAAACTAATAACAAAACAGTAGCTGATTTAGAAGCTGTCTGATTAGAGGCTTTCTGAAGACAATCACCTATTGCACCTTTAATGAACAGCTTTTAACACTCCAAAGAGAAAGGAAAACTTGAAATCGCATCATATGACCCCTTTAAGATTACTTACAACAGAACAGCAATGCATTTTATGGACGACCGTTTCGTGAACCTAGGAGAGGAGGTAATTCTGACTTTGCCGTGACAGACACCGTGATGAAGCTGGTATGTGTTTGCAGTACACAAGCCATGGTTAAGACAGCTGACTCTGTGATGTGACCCTGTCTCTCTCTCTCTCTCTCACGCACACACACACGCGCGCGCGCGCGCGCACACACACACACACGATGCGCAAAACTCCGCATTTGAACAGTCAATAGCAAATACTTAAACTAATAACAAAACAGTAGCTGATTTAGAAGCTGTCTGATTAGAAGCTTTCTGAAGACAATCACCTATTGCACCTTTAATGAATAGCTTTTAACACTCCAAAGAGAAAGGAAAACTTGAAATCGCATCATATGACCCCTTTAAGAGAATATGGACAACACTTTTAGACCATGCGCTGGGCACGCCGACTGTTTTTTCCATTGTTAAACTAACAAAAGTGGATTCGGACACGCCCTAAGTGTACCTGCGCCATGCGCTTTAGACTTAGATCATTAAAATAGGGTCCTCAGTCTGAAGCACCATCCAAAGTTCCACCTTGTATTTTTTTTTTTTATTTCCTATTAAGTTAGGCATCCTGTTCATTTTGTAAATATGTAAATAATCAAGTCACAATTAATCACAATTGTTTAAGTTTGTGAGCCTGAAGAGGCTTGTACATGATTTCATGACATGAAATTCATAAATGACAGTAAGTATATTCATTGTACACAGCTCAGAAAGTACTGCACAGCAGGAATAACACAGTACAAGCTTTTGCTTGTCTGACAGTTGAAAGGACAGTCTTCTTTCCAAACAGCATATTTGGAATATTCCATCAGTGCCTAAGGGATTTTCATATATAATATGAAATCATAATGCAAATGATCACAGAAAGACTGTAAGACTGATTTATACTTTGAGGCCTAGCAACAACGCTAACCACAAAGCCATTTTGTTTCACTAACATTCAAGCTATTCTGAAGCTACAGAGCAGTGTCAAAACAACAAGCAATGATATTTTCATAGTGATAGTGGTAATTACCCGTAAACCAACTGCACTAGCATCAAAGAAGAACCGAAACCAGGTCTTGGATGCAATGGATTCATGTCCTTTAGACTGGCTGTGTTTTCCTGTGGTTTCAAATATGTGTTAACCAGATATTAATATGATGCATTTGAATTATTTGTAGTTTATTTCTAGAACTGTGTCATTTAATTAACATTAATGGTATTTGCAATGCTATCATGTTAATTTCTGTAAATCTGTAAGTTGAACCCATACCTTTCATTGCATTGTAGCTTTATTTTAGTTTCAACTTTCTTTTTCCCCCACTGTTCTTTATACCTGAATGTGTGAAGGGGAGGAGCATCCAATGACACTTGCATGCTCAAAGATTTTTCTGTTGTCTTTCTGTCACCTGATGCCTCCAAACATTTAGTCATGTAGGGCAGTGCAACATTGTGAAACAGCATAATTTATGAATCTGTTGTTGTTCTTTGTGTTTCCATGAATTACAGATGCTTTACATAATAAGTAATGAATCCTTTAGAGGATAATGTACTGTGCTTGCGTGTGCTTTTTTTTCTGAAACCACTCTCTATTTTTCTTGAGGAATGTTATTGTAGGCTATAATGCAAATTCTAAATGGAAAACGATTTGCTGTCTCAGTTGTCTCTCATTTAAATGATTTAGTGGAATATTTACTCATTAAATTACATTTACTATTTTGTTTCAATGGATCTATTTTGCTGTTTATTTAATTCCAGCAGAATTAGTTTAGGTTGATTTAATATAACTATGGATGTTCTTTTTTTTAAAGTTTTTACAATTCTTTAATAGTTTCAATAGTTTTTACACAAATTCCAGTTCTCAAATCTCAAACTGTATATATTTCCAGTTCCTGGGATTTAACAAAAATAACTTTAAGGAATAGTTTACCTCATTTACTCGCCCTCATGTCACTCCAAACCTGTATGACTTTCTTTCTTATGTGAAACATAAGAAAATATTTTGAAAAATCGCCAACAGAAATATATATTGCACACAAATATTGCACAGGTGTTTCAACATCTACATTGTTGGTGTAGTTCGTATTTCTCTTGCAAAAAAAAAAGCTATTCACTGATGGTTGTACATGGCTCTTCTTTAGAAACTAAAATTAGTGATATACAGTGGGTACGGAAAGTATTCAGACCCCCTTAAATTTTTCTCTCTTTGTTATATTGCAGCCATTTGCTAAAATCATTTAAGTTAATTTTTTTTCCTCATTAATGTACACACAGCACCCCATATTGACAGAAAAACACAGAATTGTTGACATCTTTGCAGATTTATTAAAAAAGAAAAACTGAAACATCACATGGTCCTAAGTATTCAGACCCATTGCTCAGTATTTAGTAGAAGCACCCATTTGATCTAATACAGCCAAAAAATTAACTTAAATGATTTTAGCAAATGGCTGCAATATAACAAAGAGTGAAAAATTTAAGGGGGTCTGAATACTTTCCGTACCCGCTGTATACTGTGGCACATGATACAAAGCGATGGAAACGTGAAATTTCCTACCAAATCTAGGAAGAAGAACAATCCACACTACAAGTGATAGGGCTGTTTAGATCCCAAATAAAAGAGAAAGAGTTTAAACGAGGTCTCATGTTTGCATAAGCCATTTGTATTGAAAAGAATTTGCACATTCCAGCAACACTCCGCTGTGAAATCTATTTTAAGTTTTACTTAGAACAAAAATGACTGGAAAAAAGTCTTTTTGTCAGGGATTATGTGACTCCACTGCCCTCATTTACCCTTTAACTTAGTAGAACAGATTGAAGTGTGCATTTATCTAAAATGGATGGGAATTTTGTGATGGAATGTGTCACTGGCAAATTTACAAAGTTTGTTTTTCAAAGGCGTGTGTTAAAACACACATTTAAAGAAGTCAGACAGGGTCATCTCAGGCTGTGTTGATGCCCTAGGCTGTACTGTAACCATATATCAAAACTCGGCGCTTGATGTGGAAAACTGTGGTGTGCCAAGGTTTTTATCCTACTTGTTGTGACCTGATTTTCTGATGCCAACCTTACCTCCACACCTCATTCTGAAGACTGACTCACCCAGCATGCTTGCATATTTGCAACATTTATCTGGATATGGGAGGGCTCAAATAGGCAGAATATAAAAAGCCTGGGCTATTTACTTTTCCACAGGACAGAAAGTCTTCAGCAGAGTGCAACAACAACAACAACAACAACAAAAACTTCTACAAATATACCTACACCCATCCACTTCTTCAAAACTATGGAAACCAAAGAAGGTAAAACTTTATTTTGTCTTCACATCCCTGTAAAGTTTTTACATGTGTAATAATAATATTTTACATACATTTTATTACTATAACATTTAAATATTGTATATTACAGTAATTTATGCTGGACATTCAAATACAGAAGAGCACTGAAATAAACAACAATTAATTAAAGGATATTAGCATATTAGAGCTGCAATGGAAAAAGACTGGGAAAAGACTGCCACAATTTTGTAAATTGTGTAGTAGAGCATTTCATGTATTAATATTATGATTTGACATGCAAAACAACATCAAATAATACAAAATAAAATCTTTATCCAAAAGCAAGGTTTTCATGTCATGTCATATACTGTTCATGGTAAATGGTGGTGGCTGTTTTCCTCATGATTGTGAAACTGAAGATCACAAAATATCTGGTTGTAATGCATAGAATGCACCAATTGTTTGACACTCATGTGGTAAAGAATTCATGGCATAATGAATATCATTATAAACACTCATCTACAACATTTTAGAAGTTTTCTGTTAGAATAGGGTTCGAAATTTCAGGAATCTCAAGTGGAACTCAAAATTGTATCTCCGGAACATTGCCAGTTCCAATATTGTTAGTTAATCAGCAGGGCCAAGAGACGTGATAAAAACAGATAAAGAAAGGATTTGCAAAAATTTTAACAATGGGTGCTATACACCACTGAATTGTCCACAAAAATACTGATATTTATTGCAGTTAAATTAAAGGTCTGTAGCTATTTTCCCACCTTTTACCAGAGAAAAAGTCCCTCCAACCCTTAATAAATAATACAGATGTAATAATATCCTTGTCCTTTAACAGTGCAGATGAATCTGAAGAGCAATGATGAAATAAGAATTGTGCTGATTGGAAAAACTGGAGTAGGAAAGAGTGCAGCAGCAAATACCATCCTGGGAGAAAACAAGTTTAATTCAGAACTGTCCTCCTCCTCTGTGACCAAAGAATGTGATAAAGCCAGAAGAAATGTTAATCAGCACAAAGTGGCCGTTATTGACACTCCAGGCTTGTTTGACACAAAAGAGGAAAATACTGTGATTGATGCAAAAATAAAACTGTGCATATCGCTCTCTGCGCCCGGCCCTCATGTTTTTCTCGTGGTTGTGCAGCTTGGGAGATTTACAGCAGAGGAAAAAAATACTGTGGAGCAAATTCAGAAAATCTTTGGTGAACAAGCATCAAAATACACCATGGTGCTGTTCACTCATGGCGACAAGTTGAAGCGTGGACAGAAAAGCATCCATGAGTTTGTTAAAGACAGTCCTGATCTGCTGAACTTCATCAAGGCTACAAGCGGGCGATACCATGTTTTTGACAACGACACACATGATCCAAACCAAGTCAACATGCTGTTTGAACAGATAGACCAGCTTGTGACTGTAAATGGTGAAGAGTATTACACAAACGAAATGCTTCAGGCAGCTGAGAGAGCAATAGAAGAAGAAAAAGAAAGACTTATGCTGCAACTAAAAATGAGTGAACAGGAAGCGAGAGACAGAGCGGAAAGAAACAATACGTTTCTGAAAGTTGGTTTGGCAGTGGCAGGAGGTGCTGTTGCTGCTGCTGTTGTTGTGAAAACCTGCCCTCTTCAATGAGACAAGCTTTCTGATTGCTTAATCAGTCATTGAACCGTCATTGATTAGCACAATTATTGAGAAAGAAATGACAATAGCACTTACTGTTCCATATTTTATACTTTATACCACATTTTGTACTGTCTATACATTCAATGCTATAGCAATGGAAAAAAAATATTTTGGATCACTATAGTTTCTTTTAGTGCTGCAATGCATAATTATAATGTAAATGTGATATTAATAAAAATAATTTTGTAAAAGATTTTGTGTTTTTTTAAGATATGTAATGCCTTAAGCATATGCTTATATGGTCAATGCTTGTGTAACATTGTGTGTTTGTTAATATACAAAGTAGTTTCTTTTTGAACAAATGAAGTTCAATTTTTCCAGGAGGGAAGGAGCACCTTCGAATGGTTCTGGTCGGCCTTCAGGGGGTTGGGAAGAGTGCAGCAGGAAACACCATTCTGGGCCGAGAAGAGTTTCTCTCAGACCTCAGCGCCACTTCTCTCACATCCACAAGTGAACGGAGGGATGCTGTTGTCTGTGGGAGGAAAGTGACTGTTGTGGACACTCCTGGCTTATTAAACAGTGATGCTTCTAATACAATTGTAGAGCAGGAGCTGGAAAGATCCTTGACTCTGTGTGAACCCGGACCCCATGTTTTTCTCCTCGTTATTCAGTTGGGTCGCTTCACTGAGCAAGAAAGACATGTGATGGACACTCTCCAGAAGATGTTGTGCTCAAATGTGAATTCGTTCACAATAGTGCTTTTTACATATGGAGACAAACTTAAGAATAAAAGTGTAGATGAGTTTGTAAGGGAGGATAAAAACCTGCAGAAACTGATCCAAAAATGTGGCTCACAATATCATGTGTTCAATAATACTGAGAGGGAAAATACATGTCAGGTCAGTGAGCTCTTTGAGAAAGTGGACAGTCAGTTGGGAAAGAGAAACAAAAAATATTATGTTAGGACAAACAAGGAGCAGGGAAAGTCCTGGAACACACGCCACTTCTACACTGCTGCTGCTGCGACTGCTGCCGCTGCAGCTCTGTTGATGTATGCAGCATTTACTAAGACAACAACACAGAGTAAAATCCCAGAGTGTTCTCTGAGTGCCCCAAGTGATGAGATAGTAACAAAGGTGGAAGCAGATGTTACTCAAAGTGAAACATTTTGGGAAATGTTGCACAGCCTGTTCAACAAGGACAACAAAAAGGTGTATTTAATTGGTTTAGTACCACTGTTTTTTATTATGAAGAAGCTGATGAAAAAATAGTTACTCAATGATAGCAATATAGCAGGTACACTAATTGTTTCAATGAGACAGTTGAGAGATTACATCTATGTAGAACACTTTGAAATGTAGGTACACAAATGTGAATTTGAAACATTGCCTGTTTGGAAGAAAGCATGCATATTCACTATTTTAAACTTCAAGAATTATATGCAGTTGTCCTCTATAAAACACATGAATCTGAAAATGTAGAAACTAGTTGATGGAAACGGTGTGTCGAAATTTCAATGACTCTGGTGTAAACATTGTTTGTTATTAAATAAAAAACTGAACAGAAAATTTGTCATTATAGATTATTATGTTATGATTTTTTTTGATTGAGTTTGGCTGTGCTTGAAACGTGGAATTAAAGGCAGTTATTCTCATTAGTTATTTTTTTCTAAACCAAGGTGCAAACTTGATTAAAGTTTGAAAATCTCCAACTGACATTCATTGAAAGACACGGCAGTGAACATTGTGATCTTGAACACATTTGACAATTTTGTTATCAAGAAAAAATAAATGTATAAAACATAGGCACATAACCTCCTTGAAGAATAACAGACTTTATATACATGTAAATGATGTAACATTACATTATGCAGTAATACAATTTATATTTTCATTGCTTTTAAACAGTGCCAGAGCAGCAGAATCCATGTGAAGAGCTGAGGATTGTTCTCTTGGGAAAAACTGGAGTTGGAAAAAGTGCCACTGGAAACACTATTCTTGGTGAAAAGGTTTTTAAAGTGAATTTGTCATCATCGTCTGTGACAAAGGTTTGCTGGAAAGCTACAAAGAATGTGAACAGCACAAAGGTTGCTGTTATTGACACACCAGGACTGTTTGACCCCAGCTTTACTATAGAGGAGATGGTCAGCAGAATTAAGCTGTGTATTCCCCTTTCTGCTCCCGGTTCACATGTCTTCTTACTGGCGCTTCAGCCTGGTCGCTTCACAAAAGAGGACAGAGACACCGTGGACATCTTTCTCAAGATCTTTGGAGAAGATGCAAGTAAGCACGCCATGATTTTATTTACACATGGAGAAAAGTTTGAGGGTAGAAATGTTCAAGAGTTTGTCGCTGGCAATCCTGATCTGAAGACACTCTTTGAGCAATGCCAGAAGCGATATCATGTTTTTAATAATGAGAACGAAGATACCATGTAGGTTGAGCAACTTTTTGAAAAAATGCACAAGATGATTTCTGAGAATAGAGGGCACTTTTATACCAATGAAATGCTTGAGAAGGCAGAGATCACAATTCAAGAGGAAAAACAGCGAATCTTAATGGAAAATGAAGAGCAGAGAAGCAAAGAACTGGAGGATCTGAAAATCAAATATGAAGCAGAGGCTCTGAATCAGGCCATAACAGAGCCGTGGGAAAGAAAAGAGAGGGAGGCAAGAGAGAAAGCGGAGAGAAACAACACATTTCTCAAAATAATCACAGAGTTTCTGTTTACTATTCTTGAAAAGTTCATTATGAGAAAACTTGGACAAAATCAGTGAATGGTTTGTACTTGTTGAACACCTATATATTGTATGTGTTGAACACACATATGTGTGTGTGTGTGTGTGTGTGTGTGTGTGTATATCATTGTACCACATTCAAACTTATGCAGTACATCTCATTAAATTACATTTTATTGTACCAAATGACTGCCTGGTTTCAGGGATCCAATCAGAAAATGTTTTAGACCCTGTTTACACCTGAATTTAGCACTGACCATGTGTGATCTGGTCGCCAAAAAAAAGGATATTAATGCCAGGTGCAAAAGAGTCGCATTTTAAGTGAGACTTAACTATCAAAAAGTGTTCGCTTGTCTGTTCACGAGTTCCAGACAGACTGATAGTCTGTGAAGGGGATTTTTCTGTGAACTGATTCTTTGAACTAATTCATTCAAAACATTGATTCTTCATTTGAGCGAAACAAGAGACTTGCTGAAATCAGAACGGCAAACTACACTTACTGTTTCTGCCACAGAAAAATGTGGCAAACATATTAGAAACAGTATGCTGAGAAAAACAGAGAAAATAAATTGAAATATTGTGTCTAAAAGTCACTCAGTATAAAATGATGAGGAGGAGGCACACTAACACACTCAAGTGTTTTCCTTTTTTAATCGCGTTTGGTCTCGTACTGTATCGCGTACCTTGTCAGTGCCGTGCGCTTTGCTTGGCCATTTGTTGTGATACACAGGAAAGTGTGTGTGTAAATATATAGTATTTATAGAGTTTTAGCTTTTAGTTTTAATTACTTTTTCTTATTTGTAAGTCGCTTTGGATAAAAGCGTCTGCTAAATGACTAAAAGTAAAAGTAAAAGTAAAAGTAATTGTATTGGTCTGGGATCCCAGCTGATTATTTATTATTATTTGCCACTTTAAAATGGCTTTTAGGTTGCTTTTAGTCAGAAAACGTAAAGAAAACAACATACATACAGCAAGATAATATAATTTCACTTACCTGGCCTATCACTTGAAGCAAACATCCATCCCTTCTTAAAAGTCTGTGTTAAAAGAGAGCTGCCTGTTGCGCGATTTAATTAAGCCAACTGCTGTAGCCTATATCCAGCTTAGGCGGTTTTCCCTTTTTTAAATTTGTGTATATACTGTTTGAATGACAGCTTGGTAAATCTGTTGGCGATCAAATATTCAATATCACGAGCGGCAGACGTTCAAACTAATATCACGTAATTTACGTCTCTATGATGAAATTTGTGTATATACTGTTTGAATGACAGCTTGGTAAATCTGTTGGCAATCAAATATTCAATATTGCTACTCATCATAAGTACTTGGTACATTATCAGCACAGCGGCAGACGTTCAAACTAATATCACATAATTTACGTCTTTGATGATTGGTTGATATCAGAAGGGAGGCTAGCCTCCCTTGCGAGGGTTCTTTTCTCAACACTCCTCAGCGCTGAAAGTGAACACTCAATGGTGATTGGCTATTTTTTTTTACCAACGGAGGCACGAGAGCTCAGCCGTCCATAGACATAATAAATACCTAGATGCCTTATTGGCCGCTTTGAGCCATTGCTGTGATACGTCAACGCGTCCGCCATGTTTGTGAAGGCAAGACTGCCTTAAAAATAAATGGAGGTAAACGGGGGAGCTGCGGTTTTTTCTGGATAAAAACTCTGCCTCCAGTTATTTAGTTAGGTTTGGAAAATGCATAGAACAGGCTTTCTTCAGCTTTCCTTAAGGCTTGCGTTGTCATGTTTGCAATTGGCTAAAAAGGAAGAAAAAAATAATAAGTCCACAGATTTATGATAAGCTATGAAATCCTTATAATCAAGTGATGATAAACTTACTCTTTGTAAATAAGTAACGTTAATGAAATTAAAGAGAGATGATTTAATTAGCTCCATTCCTAATCCCGACAGTCTGGCATTGTCTTGTCAAAGTGCTCACAGTACATATTGTGCTCATAACACAATTTACTTTATGATATAACCTACAATATAAAGTTAAAACTTAAGAATTAATTTAAACTTTGATTTCATATAAAGTCTCAGCTTTCACAGCTTACTAGCGATATCGCTAGCTATTAATAGTCTGACACTGGTGGCTAATTAAGCTGTCAACATAAAGCTAAAAATGACCAAAAAACATACAGAAACAACTGTTCAGTCTTACCTGTGAAAGATAATACCCCAAGATCTATTTTTATTATTGTGCGACGGTTTTTAGATGCCCAAGCTGCCGACGAGTCAGGTATGTTTTCGCCTGTCCCTATATGGTAGTTGCTTTCACCAATATGGCGGCGATGTTGACGTGCGGTCGAGCGGCCAATGAGGCGTCTAGGTATTTATTATGTCTATGCAGCCCTCCTCCGGCCTCCCCCTCCCCTTCTCTATCACTTAGCGGTTGTAATTACATCAGCAGATTCGGCACATTCGCGATAGAAAAGCGGCGCTTTCACGTTATGGTACATCTGTGAAATTACAAAAAAAAAATAAACATTCTGAGACATGAACTGAAATGAATTGTGAATTTTATTAACATTAAATCGTCCTCCTCCCATTTTCACCTCAAAATAATGGGGAAGCTGTGCCTCCCCTGCCTCCCCCGACGAGCCGCCACTGATAGAAAAGCGGCGCTTTCACGTTATGGTACATCTGTGAAATTACAAACAAAAAATACACATTCTGAGACATGAACTGAAATGAATTGTGAATTTTATTAACATTAAATCGTCCTCCTCCCATTTTCACCTCAAAATTATGGGGAAGCTGTGCCCTGCCTCCCCCCACGAGCCGCCACTGATATCACCTAATTTTCATAGGAAATGTATATTTGTATTACAATACATCTCTCCATAATTGCCGTTTATTAGCCTTTCAAGTGTAATTTGTGTGAATCAAGACAGGATGATAGGGTGGGATCCATGTACACAACTTTAATAAGAGGTACCCACAGCAACCAAATCCACATCAAGTACCCAAAGGCTTGAATCAGAAGTGCACGCACACACACACAAAATGGGTGTGTAGGCCTAAGAAACCAAGAAACTAAGAAACTATAAAATATGAACTAGGATACTAATTTAAGGTAATAGAATGCTCAAAATTGCAGCACTAAAACTACCAAGACTTCAGATTGAATACCAGGTATGAACAGACATTTGTGGTAAGTTCCCTTTCGATACTTCACTCGTACTGCGTCGCCAGACGCTTATGTGGAAAGCTCCTTTTTCTCAGAGGACTGAAGACTTTTACAATCGCACAGTGTAACTACACGGTCATTGGTTCGTGCAGTATTTGAAAGACGAACCAATAGCTCGGCAGCGGGACCATCTGGCTATATAAGCGGGCATTTCACCATAGGATCTCAGATCAATTCTCCTTCAGTGACGACGATCTTCTCTTCACTGATCTACGGGACTTGAAGCGCTCGCACTTGACACGCCTTGCTGTGAACAGAAGCTGCTTTCTCCGCTGTGCCTCTCTGTTGTTCCAGCCCGCTCTACGTGCCGCTTTCAGCGTTCGACCCAGACACCAGCTCATCCCCTGCCGCCATCCGGCGAAGCCTAAAAAGTAAATTTCCGTTCTAAAAGAGCAGCATTTTTTCAAATGCCGCGCCATCATTGCTGCTCGTGCAGGACTGCACTGCACGCTGATGATGGCCACTCAGAGTGCGTTTCCTGTCTGGGCAAGCCCCTCTGACCGAGATGGAGTGTTCACATTGCGTGAACATGAGTCTCGCCTCTCTACACGGTCGGATCGCTTTCTTTTCAGAGAGCGACTCCGCCCCTCGCGCCCTCCCGTTTTCTTCCTCCCAGGGACCTGTGAGGAAAAAACAGCGGGGCAGGGGAGCTCACGCCAACCCAGATCCTGCGTGCCTCGCCCTCACCAAGCAGAGGGGTTTCTCCCGTCCTTTTTGAACACTCAGACCAGCGTCCCTCGGTGCATGCGAGCGACATGGTCTCGTTCGGTGTAATGGAGGACGAGCTATTAGATGACAGCATATCTCTAATAGCGTTGGACGCGGAGGAGCTGTCGGGCTCTACTACTGACCCCGCCCCCCTGCCGTCTGCCGATCCCAGCGACGCCAAGCCAGGGATGGACCCCGAACTTTTCCGTGTCCTCTCTAAAGTGGACAAAGAGCTGGGACTGGAGTGGTCTACGCCGGAGGAGCCCTCTCGTAGCCATCTGGACGAATGGTTCCTGCCGGGGTGCCACCAGGCCCCTCGTCAGCGAGCCTCCCCGTTCTTCCCAGAGGTCCACGATGAGCTCACAAAGTCATGGCGTGCTCCCAACTCGGCTCGCCTTCGCACATCCTCGTCTGCTGCGCTCTCCTCAGTGGATGGCGCTGAGGAACGAGGTTATGAAAAACTACCTCCTCTTGATGAGTCAGTGGCTGCGCACCTCTGCCCACCCACTGCCATTGGATGGAAAGAGAAGGTCGCTCACCCCTCCAAGCCCTGCAGAACAACGTCTGCCCTCAGTGGACAAGCAAACTCCTCCGCTGGGCAGGCGGCCTCAGCTCTGCAATCCATGGCCGTGCTCCAGGTCTTTCAGGCCAAACTCCTCCAAGGCATGGACGAGTCCGGACCCGACCCCGCAGCCTTCAAGGAACTGTGCAGTGCAACAGACCTGGCTTTGCGAGCCACGAAGGCTACAGCACAGGCCATCGGGAGGCAAATGGCCAGCCTAGTGCTATTGGAACGCCACTTATGGCTAAACCTCACTGAAATTAAGGAGGCTGACAAGGTCCCCTTACTCGACTCTCCGGTCTCCCCTACGGGGCTGTTTGGACCCGCCGTCGAGGGATTTGCAGAGCGTTTTACAGTGGCACAGAAGTCGTCCCAGGCAATGCGGCACTTCCTGCTTAAGCGCTCCAGTTCTGCAACGGCCACCAGCCGCCCCAGACTTGCACCAGCACAGCAGCCAGCGAAACCTGCACCGCCGCCCGCTCAGCCAACTCAGAAGCCTAAGCCCCGACAGCGCTCCCGCTTGGCCAGACGCTACCCATACCACTACCCAAAGCGCCAAGGACCCCGGCCCAGGCTGACGTTGGATCCTGTGCCTCAAGCGTCGTCCTGATCTGCTGGGCAGGAAGAGGAGGGGGCAAAATCTCGCCAGAGCCGGACCACCCCCAAAACGCCCTCTGATGTGCCCTCAAGCACCCCGTTCAGTTCCGGGTGCCAGTGGCAGTATGTTTGTTATAATAACTGTTGTGAATATGGAGTCCGTTC